ACAGAGAGAAACATCCTAACCTAGATTGGGAGAATCAGGGAGGGCTTCTTACAGGAGATGACACCTTAGATCATTCATGAAGGGCCAAGAGGAATTAGGCATGTGTGTTCCAGTTCTAGTAATGGTAGAAGACCTTGTTGCAGAATAATCTTACAGATATCAATTATAGGATATGGACAAAATATGAAAATCAACCATTGAAAGGTATTAAAGAATGAACATAAATAGACCAAAACTGAAGGGCTTTCAGCTGTTCAAAAAAGGAAACTGATTTAGCTTATGTCTGTGTTTATGTGATTTTCTACTCAAAACTTTTCAATGCTCCAGCATGGTCTGTCTCTCCATACACTTAGGCCTTCTCTAATATACTTTTGTAATGTTTTGAAATTTTCAGTATACAGGTCTTGAACACATTTTGTTAAATTTATTCTTAGGTGTTCTATTTTTTATGCCAATGTGAATGGAATATTTTTTTCATTTTCTTATGTTTGTTACTAGAAATATAATGAATTTTCTATAAGGTCAATTGAAAGGAAAATATTTTTTAGTTACTGGATAAACAGGTACAGGTACAACATATCAGCAAATAAATCTTGACCCCATATTCAACATGGTTCATGTCCCCAAAGTAAAAGATCCTAGGACCATGCTAATAGAACTTTTCACAGTGATGAGATGTGCATTCTATGCTGTCCAGTTAGGTGGTCACTGGCCACTTGTGAATGTTGAGTAGCTTCAATGTAAGTAATATGACTGAGAAACTAAATGTTCAATTATATTTAATTTGAATTCATTTAAATAGTCATATAGGTAGTGGCTACTGTATGGCATAGCACAGTTGTAGAAAACATAAAACATCTTTGTGACTTTAGGACAGGCAGTTAGTTCTTAGAGAAGATATAAAAAGCACTAACATAAAAGAGGAATTGAAAAATTGCACTTATTGAAATTTAGAACTCTTCTCATCAAAAGACATCGTTGAGAAAATGAAAATGCAAAGTCACAGGTTAAGAGAAAATGCTTTTAATATGTATATGTAACAAAGAATTTGTATTCAGAATACATTACAAAACTTTTACAAATCAATAATAACAAAAAATATTTCAGTTTTTAGGGTGGGCAAAAGATTTGTACAGACGTTCAGAAAAGGTAATTTATTGGTTTTATTATACATCAGAGACATGCATTTCATTTCCATTAGAATGATTAACATTAGAAAGACTAACAATGGCCAGACTTGGCAGAAATGTGGAACAATAGTAATTTTCATACATTTTGGTGAGAATCTAAACTGTAACAACAACTTTGAAAAACTCTTTATAGTTTCTTGTAAAGTTAAGCATACATTTACCATGTAGTTTAGTAATTCTACTCTTTGGAATTTATTCAAGAGCAATAAAAACCATATATTCTTTTTATTTATTTATTTGTTTGTTTGTTTTAATTAGCTAAACATGATAGTAGAACACATGGAGCATAACTTCTCATTCCTCTGTCTGTACATGGTGCTGAGTCACACCAGTAATATATATGTATGTAATGTCTGTAATAATGTCTGTCTCATTCTACTATCCTTCCTTCCCATTCCTACTGCCCCACCCCTCCCCTCACTCCCCTCTGCACATTCCAGAGTTCCTTTGTTCCCCCCCTGTACTATGGATCAGTATATGCTTCTCGGAGAAAACATTCAGTTTATGGTTTTTGGGATTGACTTATTTCACTTAGCATGATATTCTCTAGTTCCATTCATTTACCTGCAAATGCCATAATTTCATTCTTCTTTAAGGCTGAGTAATATTTCATTGTGTATATGTACCACATTTATTTATCCATTCATCTGTGGAAGGGCATCTAGGTTTGTTCCATAGTTTGTTTATTGTGAATTGAGCTGCTATAAACATTGATGTAGCTGCATCACTGTAGTATGCTGGTTTGAATTCCTTTTGGTATAAACTGAGGAGTTGGATAGCTGGGTCAAATGATCTTGAAGACACTTTCCAATAGTGTGCATGGCTTTATTGACAACTACTCCAAGCTGGAAATAACCTAAATGACCTTCAATGGAGAATGCATAAACAGATAGTAGTATATTTATACAATGGAAAACTACTCAGTAGGAAAAAGCACAGGTTATTGTCACATGCAACAACAGGAATGGATCTTAGAAACATTATATCCAGGCACAAAATACTATACATTTATTATTTCATTTATATGAATTTCAAGAATAGACTAAACTAATCTGTGGTGATAAATATCAAAACATTACCTATAAGAGGTGGAAGTTGACTGGAAATTCAAGAATTAGACAAAATTAGTCAGTGGAGTAGAAGTCAGAATATTGTTACCTGAGGGGTGGAAATTGAATGTAAGAAATATTCTATGTCTTGATTGGAATAGTGGTTAAACGGGTATATATATTAATAGAAAAACTCATTGAATTTATTTTATACTTAAAATAGTACCCAGTGGTGGCATAGTAACTGAATTGAACCAAGTAGTGTTCATGGTCATAGTTTTTCTATATACAATAGTTCCTCTTATCTATGGGGCATGTGTTTTGCTAAGTTTTGAATAATACTAAACACTGTGTATATTGTTTTTCATATGCATACATACCTACAATAAAGCTTCATTTATAAATTAAGCATGGATTAACAACAAAATAGTAGAATACAATACAATAGTGCAAGCTGAGATATGCATAAAGCAGTATAAACTAGGCACTCCTATCTCTTGTGGAGTTCTCGAGTCTCTATCTTTCAGTCAACCCTTAACTGACTCATGCTTTAATCAGAGACCTTTACCAGGATGTCAGAGCAATAAAAGACTCACAGTCACTGTGGCAAAACTGACTGCTGAGTTGTGCTAAAACAAATATTCTGAGGTTCTCCAACCACCTATGCTTAAACCTGGGGATAGATCTGTTGGAATGAGTACCAACTCATGGGACCTCGCATGGCATTTCTGTCCCAAAGAAATGCAGGGAACAATTATAATACTATACTGTAATAAAAGTCATGAGGATGTGTATATTCTCATTTTCTCTTCTTCAGCTGCCTCAAGGCAGGTAGCATCCAAAACATGGATACAATGGATAAAGGAATGATCATGTCCTTCAGAGCAGGGCTATGTGAAATTTCATCATGCTTCTTAGAATGGCATTTTACAACTTATGGATTGTTTATGTCTGGAAATTTCCATCAATATTTTCAGACCTCAGGTAACTGAAACCATATAAGGTGATTTTGCAGATGAGAGATATTAATGACCCCTTTAGTTTATCAGTTAATGAAAAAAAGAGAAGGAAGATGTACTTATTATTTAACATTTACCGCACTAAGAGTACAGAGATGAACTTTTCTCTGTTCTGGGCGGGGGGGGGGGGGGCATCAAACACATTGCACTGTTGTCACAATAAGAGATCCTCGAGACAAAGCCTATAGGGCATGCATGTTCATGGGGGCATGATGGTCTTTCAGCAAAGATGGCTTGTGGGCCACTTCTTAGTTTCAAGAAGTGCTTGTATGAAGAATGCCCACTTCTCACAGTGGGCTTCTGGGTCTACTTTTGTGCTCAGCTGGTGCCCTGGGCAGGCAGAAAAGTATTTCCCCAGCTGTTCGGTCCCAGAATCTGGAAATGGCATTGGCTTTGGCAATCTTATTTTTGTGGGGGGAGGGGTGGTTGGCATACTGGGGATTGAGCCTGGGGGCACTCCACCATTGAGCTGCTAAGCCACATCCCCATACCTATTTGTATTTTATTTAGAGACAGGGTCTTACTGAGTTGCTAGTGCCTCACTTTTACTGAGGCTGGCTTTGAACTCACCTTACTGAGGCTGCCTCAGCCTCCCTAGCTGCTGGGATTACAAGTGTACATCACTGCAGCCAGCTGTCTTAATCATATGCTTTCTAAATGCTTTAAGGTCCCCTATCCTGGGTGACATTTTAGCTAATTAATCATGGGTTGCTGGCACACTCATTCCCTTTCTCAAACATCTTTTAAACCCAAGGAAGTGACAATTGAAGGAAAAGTTATTTATAGAAAGACAAAGAAGGCAACTTAAATTTGCATTAAAGCACACATCCAGAGTCTATAGTGAATTCTAAATACAGGAAACAGTGGATGTGGTACTCTTAATCTTCTTGACACATTTGTCTAGATTAGCAGGCAAGGAAATTTGTTAACCAGGCTTCTTACTAACAAAACAATCAAACAAGTAAACAACCACCACCATCACTGTCAGGCTTCTGGATAGAATTCCTGGCTAGATGTTACCCAGGCAATCATATTAGCAGGTGGAGCTGTATAAAATACCTTATCTACTGGATTGCAAAGTTTCCAGGATTTCTGACAATCTGAAATCTGGGTGGTTCTTGATAATTTGGAGGTTAGAGATAGATATGTGATTTTCCAGACCTGTAAATAGGATCCATGAGAATTTGGTCTTGGCACTTTATCTTTCATGTGGGGATGGGAAGGGAGCATTTAAAAACTGGAATCTCCAAGAAGATGATACATTCATTAAAGTAAGTATTGTTTAGGCCAGCATGATGTAGGCCAGTGGTTTAAAACTTTAGTACAGTAACGATCCTTGGAGATTCTGTGAAATACATTACTTTGCTTATCTGCAAAGAACCTGAGAATCTGTGACCCAGTGATTTGTATTTTAAGAAGCACTTCAAGCAAGTTTGATGTGGAAGATTGAAGAATCCCCTGAGATACACTGGTGTATGTGCAGAATATTGGGGGATTCCCTAGGAAGCTGTCTGTCTTCCAGATGATCCAGGGGTTCTCATCTTGATGCTTTTGTCTTGGGTTTATTTGTACATATTCAAAAGTGATATTTTTCATTTCTGATGTTTGTGTGTGTGTCCTTAAAGGGACGTTGGTAGGTGCTTGGTGGAAATATGCTGGCATGCCCTACACATAGAAAACCATGATCCTGCACGTGAATGAGCTGCAGCATAAGCAATCTTTTGTTTTTACTTTCTATACAGCAATGCAGAGTCTTCAGAGAAAAGATTCAGAATGAACAGTTTTGTGTCAGACTTTGGGAAACCTCTGGAGCCAGACAAGGTGTTTTCTCGCCAGGGCAATGATGAGACCCGGTCTCTCTTTCACTGCTACATCAACGAAGTGGAACACTTGGACAGGGCCAAAGCCTGTCACCAGACCACAGCCATCGACAGCGAGGTCCAACTCCGGGAAGCCATCCAAAGAGGCAGGCAGCCAGAGGAGGAGCTGAACAGGCTCATGAAGTTTGACATCCCCAACTTTGTGAACACAGACCAGAGCTCCTCCTTTGGGGAGGATGATCTTCTGATTTCCGAACCACCCATTGTTCTAGAAAATAAGCCAGTTGCCCAATCCTCCCACAAAAACCTAGATTAACACATGCTCTGTGTCTTCCTGAAGATGTGGGTTCTGTCTTTGTATGGCATGATATCTCCATCCACCAAAAGCGTTTGTGTGTGTGTATGTGTGTGTGAGAGAGAAGAGAGAAAGGGAGAACGCCCTAAGAAGAGAGCTGATGTTTTGCTTTTTAACACATTTGGGAGGTTTTTTTTTATTATTATTAAAGTGTTTATTTTAAGCTATCTCATTTTCCTTGTTGAAAAATTTGGCCAGATGCCTCACATCAGCACTCCTGAGGATTAGCACACTGCTTTCTAATCTGACCCTTCCACCATTACTCTCCCTTTAGCAAGTTGCTTTTCCTCTCTGGGCTGCCACATTTTTAGTTTTCAGGGGTTGGGTCTGGAGTAGATGATCTATCCCAGCTCTAATATTCTGTGAATTTATGGCTTTGCATCCAAGACAAGCTGAGATATGCATAAAGCAGTATAAACTAGGCACTCCTATCTCTTATGGAGTTCTCAAGTCTCTATATCTTTCAGTCAACCCTTAACTGAGTCATGCTTTAGTCAGAGACCTTTACCAGGATGTCAGGAGACTCACAGTCACTGTGGCCAACCTGACTGCTGGGTTGTGCTAAAACAAATTTTCTGAGGTTCTCCAGCCACCCATGCTTAAACCTGGGGGTAGATCTGTTCCCCTTGGAATGAGTACCAACTCATGGGACCTCACATAGCATTTCTGTCTCAAAGAAATGCAGGGAAGTTGTCAGCTGAGTTGGTGGAATACCTTCTGTGTATCTGTGTTGGTGTATCTGTTGTCACACAGTGCTGTACCATTGGCTTCAGAACAACACCACCACAACTATACATACATGTGTTTGTGTGTATACATGTAAACACCTATATACATATGTATGTATGTATACACATATACACACATATATACACAATTTTCCATGCTGTCTGTTACTTGGCAGATGTGTACATGACAGCCATCTGTCTTTGAACTGAGATGGTCAGGGTGTTGTACATAACAAACAGATACCCAAGGTAGTCTGGATTATGTTAACATGAGGGCAACACAGAGTTAATTTCATGAAGGAATCAAATGAACTGCTCGCATTAGAAAACAACACCATCAGCTGTATGCATGGCCAGCTGCTAATCACTTGGTGGCATTTTCACTGTGGATTTATTCACTACCTGTCTTGTTTAAGCTACAGAATAAATGCATATGACCACACAGGAATCTTCTCTGGTTCTTTATTTTCACACATCCAGTTTTTTATCCTAAAAAAACTACTTCACATCTGTAACGCCTCCTAATTTCTTGCAGTAGGTAGTGCTGACTCATTCTGGGATACAAATAACCTTAGTCATGCATGGAATTTCATTTAGGAATTATTCCACCAAAATAAATCCCTTTCCCATAATGTCTTTTAAGGAAATATTATTCTTTAAGACTCTATCACTAAACCGTAGAACAAAGCATGAATTATTTATTATAATTAAACCTAATTTAACTAATTCTTAAAAATAGATACTGGCTATTTCATGAATATTTTTATTCAAGAAAAAAAGCAAGAATGCTGATTTCATTAATTTATAATATGAATATTATTCATAATTTACTTAACCAAATACAAATTCTGGACTATTTCTTATTAAGGTTGATTTTAAGGTATCTCATTTAGAAGTATATTTATTAAAAGACTAAATGATATTCAAAAGTTGGAAAAACATTTTACCATCATTTTTATGAACCAAGTGTTAAGAATTATGAAGTGTCTAAAGTTTTACCCCCTTATAAGTTAGCTTGTCACTGTGTCATGGATGCTTCCAGAGAAACCAAGAATCCTAGTCAGAGAGACCAAGAACTTTATTACAGCATAGCAGGCTGCATGTGCTTCATATATACAGGGTTTCTAGGTTTGTTTCCTAATGCTGCTGTAACAAATTATGACAAATTCAGTGGCTTTAAGCAACCCAAATGTATTCTGTTACGGAGTACAGAAGTCTAAAATAGTCTCAGTGGGCTAATGTCAAGGTTTTAGCAGGGCTCTGTTCCACCTGCAGGCTCTGTGGAAGAATTCATTTTCTTACATTTCTAAGTTCCCAGAGGTTGCTTATACTCCTTGACTTATGATCCATGTCACTGTGACCTCTTCTGTCACTGTCTCTGACAGCTGTACCTCCCCTGCTTTTATAGAATTATGGTGATGACATTAGATTACCTAGGATAATCTCCTCATTTCAAGATTCTTCACTTGATCATATCTGCAAAAATTTCTAGAAACCAACAGACACATGAAGTCCCTATTGGTCTTTCTTTTACCCCAAGGATTCATGTCCATTCTACATGCAACATATATTCACCTCATCCCAACATACTCCAAAGTTTCAATCAATTACAGCATCAGCTCAAAGCCTAATACATTAACTATATCTTATCAGCTAAAAATTCCCAAGTTTTTTTATCTTAACCATCTAAGTCAGATATTGGTGAATCTCCGGTCTGAGCCACCTTGGAAAAGGTAATCTCCATCTGTGGACCTCTAAAACTAGAAAATAACTTATTTGCTCCCTAAATACAAGGTGCAACAAGCACAAGATACTAGCTATAAATATTCCCATTCAAAAGAGAAAATAAAAGAGTCATCAGTCCCAAGATATTTCAAGTTCAACTGAGGAAATTCCATTGGGTTGACAGGCCTGGAATCTCCTGTGGCTTGTGGCTGCATCTTCTGAGCCTGAAGCTCACTCTTCCTTGTTATTGAAAGGTGGTGCATGTTTATAGCCGAGTAGTTTCACCAGCCTGTTTCCTTCATGTAGAATTTTGGGTTTCTGATAGCCTTCCTTTGCTTTTGTGCCTTTCAGTTGGCAGTATTGACTGGTATAACACTTTCAAGAACATTGCTGGTCTCCTGAATATATCACAGGAACTCATTCTCTTAGAGGGAGACTCCTCTATGGATCATTCCTAATAAGCTTATCTCTATTCCCAGACTTTTCTCATTAAAATGAAAGGATCATAAATCACACTCCTAATCTTTTCAAAGAGCTCTTTGTGTATTCAGATATTCTACCTTTTTATTCCTTTCAAAATTCTAGCAAAGTTGTCATAACTTTCATTTTCTCTCCTTAGCATGATTCCCTGAGAGTGAATTTTTAAATTTTAGTGTCTTTTGGGATCTGAATAGTCTTAGAATTTCCCAAATCATCAAGTCCTGGTTCCTTTTCATTTCACAGTTCTTCCCTCAATTTATCTTTTTCATCTTTCATCTTACTATAAGCAGCAAGAAAAAATAATCAGGCCTAATATTTAAGACTTTGCTTGGAAATCTCCTTAGCTAAATATCCCATGTTCATTGTTCATGGATTTTATTTTATTATTATTAACTGCAAGGCACAATCTCCTAAGAACTCTGTCACTATGAAAGAAGGATCCCCCTTTCCTCTAGTCTCCAATCATATGTCTTTCATTTCCACCTGCAGCACCTTTAATGCACATATTTGTACCAATGGTCTGCTCATGATTTAAGTGTATCATGAAACATGTTTTTTCCCCCTACCATGCTTACCATTCCCCTCTGAGTCCTCACTAACAGACTCATTAGCATCTATACTGCTACTGACAGTCTGCTTAAGGCAGTCTAGGCAGTTTCTATCATGGTACCTCAAAACACTTCCAAATATAGCCCTGAGATTAACCGACTTCATGTTTTAGCAAGGGCTGCAAGCAAATCTACTTGAACTTTACTCCTAAAGGAGACATTATCTTTTTTAATAATAGATATTAAACAAGCCTGATTTCTGCTGGAGGAAAACACAATCTCCATCTTCTAAGATCATTCTGTCTCCAAACAACAATGAATAGACAATTGAGACAAAAGCTATACGAAATATAGAAACTGATAGTTCCCTGGAGAACTGGCTCCTAAACCTAAAATGAATAAAACGTATATTGTATAAGTCATCTGGATTTTTTAGAAAAAGACAACTTTGAAGAAATCTCAAAAAGAACTAGGGTGCTTTTAAACATTCCTGAATTATTTTTCCGAGATGCATAACCACCTCAGGTTAAATTCAGGGAATATTTCCCCCACTTTTGATAGCAGTCCAAGATTACCAGAACACAGACTGTGTATATGAAGTGTTTCATTACTACTGAAATGATCTTATAGCAGGACAATAATCCACAATGCCACCCAGAAATGGTGCATGGTAGAAAGAGAAAGCCTTTATGTAGGCCAGGCTTTTAGGTATCTTAAGGGAGGTGACCTCAGCCATCCCATGATCAGAGGTAGAAAGTTGGTAGCCTCTGCTGATTCTTGAGGCAGACCCGTTTGGGATATAAAGAGTATACTATTTTTCCTAAAAGTTAGGGCTTTTGAATAAATTTTGTGAAAACTTGTGATTCCAGGTGAGGGCAAGCCTTGGCAAGTTCATTTTGTAACTGTATAGCTAGTGAGAGAACTCTAAAGAAATATGCCCAACTTGGGAATTACATATTTCCATTTCAAGAGAAAACAAGTTCTAGGACTGGGGAAGGCATCTCATGGAGTTCAGAGATAGTGAGGAGGGATATGTTCACATTTGTAGAATCTTTTCCACTCTGGTGTCTATGGGCAAAGATTCTTCTTCCTCCTTTTCTGCATCTTCCTACTGTATGCAATCAGAGAATCTATTTTTCTCATTCCTCACATAGGCTACAGATTTTATATGCTTAGGAGACTTTGTCTTAGTTTGCCTTGTTACTTCAGGAGTTAGAACTGGCCCCTGGGAGGTGGGGTTGGGTGGTCCATGTAATTATAGTTTGCTTTTTAAATGAATGAGAACCTAATCTGACCCATATTGCCTTGAGTGTGTATTCATAATAAAATTAATAAAGATGGATATTAAAACTTTAACACAGTATTAAACTTCATTTCAAAAACATCTCTTTGGACAGCAGACTACAGTCAAGTATAAGAATAGGGGAGTTTGTACACAGGTATGTCTGAATTGTACCCACGGAGTCTAAGACCTCCCACAAGGAGTTTGGAAATGCCAGTCTTTGCCAGCGAAATGATGAGGATGAATTGAATTTTAAAAATATAATAAGTAGAAAGACAATTACCTAAGCCTTAGGTCAGGTTCCACAGAAACGCAGCCTCAGATGAAGATTTCTATTG